CAGTAATAGTACTTTGTAGATCTCGTTACAACGAAATTCGTTACTACGAATAATTTAGTACAACGAACGCTTTTTTCCAATCCTTGTACTCGTTATAACAAACAAATATCTAACACTTGATTGTTTACGAAGAGACGATCGTCTGTGGTTCCCGACAGCTCCCTCCTTCCCTTTGGACCTTGAGAGAGTCAGAATTCTCTGTTTTTTTCCCCGCTTGTGGCATGAAAAGTGTTAGCGCGAGGAGGAACGTACAGTAGTCGGCGCTGGCTAGTCGTGGCCGAAACCTCATCACTTAAAACACAGAGTAACTGTGTACCCCATTCCGCTGACATGGGTAGCAAGGGAAACAAGAAACGCTGACAGTTTTCGTCGGAAGAAAAAATGAAAGTAGTGGCAGCAGTAGATTCCGCCAGGAAAAGGTAAAAGAAGTCGGCATCATTCCCTCTGTTATTCTCGTTCTTGAAGGATCGTGCCAAAATTGAAGAAAAGGTGAGGAAAGCGGCTCTGAGGGCAAAACGAAAGAGATTGCGTGTTGCGCTCTACGATGACATTGACAAGGCAACACAAACTCTCGTGCAATCCAAAATTACAGATTTTCTCCAAACAAAATAAAGTGGAAAATTACTGCATCTGTGGTCTGCACGTTGGAAGGCATAGCCAATTTTAATAAAGAATGTTTCTTTTGAACTTATTTCGAGCAATATTCGATACAGCGAAATTTCAGTACAACAAAGTAATCTGGACACCCCTTGAAGTTCGTTGTAACGAGATTTGACATGTATTTGACCACGTGGGGTATTTTTTAAAACCTCAGCCTGATAATTTTTTTTATAAAGCTCTGAACATGCGCTTACGACCACTACTACAATCATTTTTCAGAATGTTTTCTTTTTAAATGGTTGAGCATGCTTTCGGTAGTTTAGACCAGGAATGACCCAAGAGCCAACGGCAACGTTTTCGGAGCATCAAGGGCGTTTCACACTTTGCGTGTCATGCGTCCTTTGCAGGCCCGGTGAGGGAAAATACATTGGGCCACCTCTGTATTCCGGAGTTTTGCCCCTCACTTCATTTTCGATTATCGAAGTTATATTGGAAAAAAAGGAAAATCACTACATTTTAATTAAGCGAGAAAAGGAGAGGAATTTGTGCAGGTTGTCCAAAGATTTAGCGTTCGTATTCTCGGAACCTTTGCCAACAGCTCATCGATCACTTTCTAGTAATTCAATGACCTGCTGACCCTCTCGATAGAGAGTATGGCTAGTCCTGAGGCGTTCTTGTGACATGCTTGATCTTAGATAAGGTATGAATTATTTCTGTTTCCAAAAAGAGTAGCTTCTTTCTGAAGATGCGGCTCTCAATGGAGCTGTGAGTAGCACTCCAAGAGCGATGGACACGTGAGGATACGCGGGCCTGGCTACTCTTGTATCTATATATGAATCGCGGAGTTGCAAGAGCATCAAGTGGCTCTGGTAGAAGCGTAGCCAGACTGCGAAGCTCATCGACAAGGTGTTGCAGCTGTTGAAGTTAACCTTGGTAAATGGTGTCTAAACTTTGCACGGGTACCATCGATTAGGGTTGCCACCCGTTTGTAATTAGTATTGATAGTACATATTCCAGACAGAGTAGATACTGCAAACTGGTATTAATATGGACACATTTGTCCATATTATTAACTTGCAGCTCAGTGATAGCCATACACACACAAGTGTATGGGGCCCCATACGCTTCGAATATTTGTGCATATTTCCATGCGTCCACGTTTTGTTGAATGCAAACGTTGCAACTTTATCGATGACTCGATAATGAATAAACATTTCACAACATGATCAAGGGATACGAGAGAGGGAACGGGATGAAAACGAGGTAGACCCTTTTACGCGGACGTCTCTCTCACCTCCTGGAGTGCGTGCATTCAAGCGCAAGGATTTCATGCGGGAAGGATGGAGGAATTAAAATTTAATAATAAATACTTTCCATGCATTGGGGCAGTGACGGATTTCATCCAACTCGGCCTTCTCGCCTGTCCAGAGTAGGAAGACCTAGGAAATATTCTCCGTGGATTGGATCTTCTTTGGAATAACTCGTAGCGTTTCAAAAATTTTTCTCTTTTTCTTTCGCTCTCTTACTTATTACTTATTTCTTCCTCTCGGGGCTGGGGCCCCTGGATTCTGCGGAGGCCCCCTGCGGCCGCAGGGGACGCAGGGGTACTCGCGCCGGCCCTGGTCCTTTGCGTCAATGCTTGGGCAGGCAGGCAGACGCACGCGTGTCCACTTATATTCTAATGTTTTCAACAAAATGCAAGCCTTGCGTTTTTGTGAAAACCTTCGATGTGAGTGGGCATGCGTGTGCTCGCATGCGTCTGCCTACCTGCCCCAGCATTGACCCAAAGGACGCATGACACGCAAAGTATGAAACGCCCTTGATGCGCTGGAACCAGTCATGAATAAAAGCACGAATCGAATGCTCCCATCTTTCTGAACACCTCCGTCCACCACGTGTGCTCCATCAGTAGTTGAATCTTTGGGCAGTGCATGAGCCTGCCTCAGCTTACTACGAGCATGGGCCTAGGTGGCCTTATGACGCATATTCACATGCGGTGTTTTGCAAGTTTTGGATTTTGCAAGTCTAGGCCTCCTTACAAATTAAATCATCTATTATAGCAGTGCTTCATTTGAGCTGAAGCTGTCCTTAGCTTTGGCACCTCGAAACGTCACCGGACTTACTCTTATTCCTTGATGTCTTACTTTTTTCATTGGATAAAGCCTCGGGTGCATAGCTACAGTTCTCTCCATATTCATGCTGCTTTGCCCCACGATTGAAAGTGAGAGCTGATAGCCCAAATTGCTCACGCCTCGGGCATTGATGCCGAACGTTGTGGGTTCGGATTCGGACCTCGTCCGCACTCCAATGGAGGACCCAGGAAGGGGTGGGAAGAACTATGGAAGCAACCACCTCCCGCCCTCCTAGAATAATTTTTGTATCCGTACTGCTGCATCGTCACATTTTTAAATTTGTTTCAAAGATTGCTTCAGCTGAGTTTCAAGCAGTTAAGAAGCCCACTGTGTGTTATGAAAAATGTCTAATTGAGGGTGGGGCCCTGAAAAATAAAAGCATGGAATGGTTTTTCCTTGATGTAAGACATGGGGTGCCCTGGATAGTCTGGATATGAAAATAATTTTTTTTGGGGGGGGAGGGGGGGGGGGGGGGAAACTGGCTAACTAATTACTAACCATTTGCCCTATCAGAACTCTGGGAGATATATGGGAAAGCTAGGGAACAGCAGAGAGGAAATGCTTGAGTCTCTTGAAGGATAGAGAGGCTGTGTCACAATTGAAAGAAGGGTACATTAGGGCATTTTAATTGGAAATGAGGAAGAAGAAGGGAGCCTAAGGATGTAAGAGGATCACTTTAAAATCAATGATTATTGATTTTCAATGTAATTGGAAGCATTCAAGAAACACTTTAAAAAGGGTCTTCTACAAGAAGATGTAGGGAAATAAAGCCATGAATATTGGCCAAATAGACCTTCATGGGATATGGCATGTTGCACCTTAACCCCTTAAATGGACTCGCCGCATATGTGCGGTCTGGCACCTGCCATCTCTCAATGGAATCACCGCACATATGCCTTCAAAAGTTCCCAGTTAAGGGGTTAAGGAACCAGGAAAGTGAGAAACCAAAAAGAAAGAGGAAGAAGGAGATTAGGAACCAAACAAGAAATGTTTGGGAAGATTGATGACATCATGGAGAACTATCCAGTTGGAATTTGGGCCTATTGCCCAAAGGTCAATGGGAAATATTAAGAATAGTTCAGGCTAATGAAGTCAGACTTTGATGTTGTCTAGTTGATATGAATTCCTAAACAATACTTATTTTTAGTAATACATGATTTGCTTTTCTTTAAAATACTTGCTAATATGAGCTTCACCCAACAAGAAAAATCTTAACAAAATGACATTTTCTGGCCCAAAAATTATGAGAATTATTCTACTTCTGATTCATCTCCTCAGTGAATTTCAAGCCAATTATAAGTCTGACCCAAGTACAGGGTAATTTTTTGTAGATATATGTTTCATTTATTGAGCACTAGGCCCAGGAGTCCTGATTATTTCAGATTGCAACAAAAATAAATGAAAAATAAGCCAAACTTGAAACAGAAAGTTGTACTGATGTATAGAAGTATCAATTAAAGGCTTGAGGTAATGTGATGAGTTTGTTTGGCTTGCAAAACTTGCTGGACCCCTGGGAAATGGAGGAAATAGGTGAATTCACAGATAATGGCTGTTTTTATTTTTGTTTCTTCACTCAAGCCAGTTTGCTATTGTCATTGTTGAGTATTTAACTGTGAGGCCATGCTGTGTCTTTAAAGCAATTTACCACCTCATTTGAGCCATTTGATTGGTCAGTGAATTGAAATGAATGCATTAAGCTCATGCTTGCCAGGTTTCTCAACTGGCCAACCTCACTTGTTGATGAATTTTACCTAACATTTGTTAAGTGTAGGGCATTGCAGTATGTGATACATTTTTTGGTAGGTATACTGTGGCCCAATACCACAATATTTTGGTGATACTAGTGAGAAGCAAGGGGGGGAGGGGAATAGTTAAAATATCATCACATCTCACATCCTTACAAGACATGATGAAGGTATTAGGTGCTCAAACACACACACACATGTGTGAACCAGTGGCACAATCAAGGACCAAGTTGAACTTGATGAATTTTGGTCCATAAATGTGCTCCTCTGACTTCCAAGAGGGCTTTGGTTTTCCCCAGAGGTGGGTGTCACCATGACTGGAGATGGGGAGAAGCATCTTTGTTGCCTGAAAACTTTATCCTCTGAGTAGAAAGTGGTAGCTGCAAAATTGCATCTTCAGATGGAGATTCTTTTTCTGCAAGAATGCAAGGCATTGTTTAAGCTTTGGCTATGGCTATTGTGAGACCTATGTTATAAGAGGCCTTTAGGGATATAACCACCATATAATGCAGTGTAAGTTCTTAACATATTTTCTGTCATTTTAGGTTGATGTTTGTGTATTTCCTGTATTTCCTGTAATGAGTCTTCTGAAGACCCTGAGATTCTGTAGCCACCAAAATTTTCAGTCACCTGCCAAGTCAGCAATCTACATTGGAGGCAGAGGGGTGCAGAGATTCTTCCATCTATCATCGTGTTCAAGAGAATGCTTCAAAGTTCAAGATGAAGAGGATTTTGAGAAGCGAGTCATGAAATCTAAAACTCCCATCATTTTGGATTTCTTTGCCACGTCAGTTTTGGCAGTTAGCACAGGCCTAGTCATCTTCAGTTTACCACTTTTACATGAGACTCATTATTTGGGTATCTAACAGCAGGCGATAGCCATGTTGTAGAGGAAATTTCTCAGTAATATACTATTCCAACAAAAAAATCTGAGCACTCTCTCAAACTTTTTGAATAGATATAGCTCTTTCTGTTTCATTGCTTGGAATTTCATGCCATGATCACTACAGAGTCTATCCATTGAAAAACTCTCTTCTCTGAGTTGGTAAATATTGCAGTGTGTCTCAAAGTTATTTATAGAAAACTGAAGTTTTATTTCTCGAAAAGTAGTAGACATAGAACTGTGAAAGTTGGTAGTAATGTGGCCTAACTTTCTACTTTTCATTCTCCATGGGTGGCAGGACTGTAGGAAGCAAGATGGTGACAGGAATATAACAGAAGGTGAAGTGTGTGATTTTGTATGCAAAACTAAGTAGTGTTGTCCTCATACAGCATGAGTTCAAGTGGTTGTGCAGAAAAATGAAAGGCTCCAATATCACAAAGCATTCTGCGAGAGTTCTGTTCAGAGCCAAGAAATAAAACTTTACTTCTCTATGAATATGCTTGGGACACACTGTACATGATAATACATCATGACTGTCACTAGAGTCTGGACAGGGTGAGGAAGAGGAGATGGATGGTTCCTTCTCAATTTCTCTTCTTTTTTTGGAATGCTGTTTATCAGTCATTTTATGGAGACGTCCCAAGATGGTGAATACCGAAAGTGACGTAACATTATATTACTATTATCACTTATAAACCTACCATACCTAGTGTTTCTCAGATGAATTCTGCCCTTTTTCCAGTAAACAGGTTTCCATATGACTTTATAATAATTTTATAAATATGACAATTGGAAGAAATTCAGCTGGCCTTGGGAATATCTGAGTCAAGTGAAAAGTTGTTGAAATTGTTTGATAAAACATTGTCTGATAGCTGGAGGAAATGGTTCTCAATTTTCATTTTAGCTTAACACATGGCACCCAGTCATTCCAAGCACTCAATTCAACCTTGGACATTTGTAGTTTTGAGGATAAACTAGACCTTATATTAGTTGGCTTATTTTTTAACTGCCTAGTTTATTCCTCCCCTTCCGAAGTGGATTTTATTGCTGTTTGCATTTGTTCACTGGTGCATCTAGGTGGTGTGGACCATGCAAGGTCTTGACTCCTCGGTTGGAAAAAGTAGTACTTGCTCAAGGTGACAAAGTTCACTTGGCCAAAGTGGATATTGATGAGAATGGAGAGATTGCAATGGACTTTGGGGTAAGACATGAGAACATTTATGAGATCTTTACCCTTTTCCATTTTTAAGTAAGACTCCTGCTCCTAGACTTGTAATGCAGTCTTCAGGGTCACAGACCTAGCATTCATTGTTTTCTCTGTTTCTTATCTGCTATAGGTCAGTGCAGTACCTTCAGTTATGGCCATCCGGGATGGCAAAGTGATGGACAAATTCATGGGCGTGATTGATGAGGACAAAATTCAAAAGTTTGTGGAAAAGGCCATCAGTGAATAGGTTAGCATCTGTGTGTAGTTGCATAATATCCCTTATAGTAAGAAAATGAATTGTACTTGTATGGTCTGACAGTGTCATGAGACCTGTGTTCTCTTCAAAGGATATAAAGAAATGAATTCATAATAGAAAAAGGAATATCAAACCCTGCACATTTTTCATGCATGTCATTCATTGACATTTTAGAAGTAAATTATCTTGCAGTAAAAATTTCTTTTATCCAAAACTTGACTTTTGCTGAACTCTTCACTTGCCATTTTGTAGGTGTGAGATAGATGCATCTGACTGTGGATGTGTATTCTCTTTCATGCAACAAAGCTTTGATAACTTGTCAACACTAATTCTGTGGCAGTTACTTTTTGAGACTTCTCTTACTTGACTCAAACCCTCTGCCCTATATGGGGAATGCCTTTTAGCATTCTGGGAATAAGCCTATACATTGTATGACTTGGAATTGACTCAAACTTTTTTTTCCATGGAAGATTCTTTTCTTATTTTGGGAAAGCTCTCAAATGTATTATTTTAGGGATGACAAGAAAGGCATGAAGCAAAAGAAGGAAAAGGAGGAATTGCCAATTGTTGTGGTGGTGGTGTTGGGGGACTTAGGTCACAGTCCTCGTATGCGCTATCATGTTACTTCTTTGCGAAAAGAAGGCTTTAGAGTGGTCTTTGTTGGATATAAGGGCTCCAACCTGGATCCTAGCATTTTACAGGATGAAGGAGTCAAGATATCTTATGTCAGAGAGTTCAATTCATTTGGCAAAGGTGAGATTGAATGCTTCAAAGAGTTTTTTGAAATTTTATGTATATTGATAGGCATTTTTTAACATTCCAGGGTTTTTTGGCTACTTATTGAAGACCCTGTTGACTTGCATTGCCTTGCTCTGGGCTCTTCCATGGACCTTGGCTCCAAAATGCATCCTTGTGCAGAACCCTCCCAGCATTCCTTCTCTCCCCATCTTGTGGCTGTACTGTCTGATTGCACATTCTCGCCTGATGATTGATTGGCACAACTATGGCCACACACTCCTCAAACTCTCTCTCAGTGATTCCCATCCATTTGTAAGGCTATGCAGATGGTGTGAGTGGACATTTGGGGCCAAAGCTGCTGCCAACTTTTGTGTCACAGAAGCTATGAGGAAAGACCTAGAAAAACATGGAATTAGGTGAGTTGTTACCAATTGGAGTGCTTGTGTTTCAGTTTCACATTTACCTGTGCATTACATGGTCATTATATTTTTATTTTTATTCTCAAAGAAGGTATTAGCACTTTTGTATTGCTGATTGCAATTGCAAGGGAAGAAAATAGCCATCTTTTAATGAAAATTGAAAAATTGAATGATAGAACACAACATCCAGGAGTGAGCTTTATAGGTATCTATTCTATGAAGGATGATACACCTGATGTCCTGTTTTGAAATGTCTGAGTCAAGAGAGAAAAAAATGGCAGATGTTTATGCTCATGTCATACATGGGAACCAATTCAGAGGAGGAGGCAGAGGAGAAAGTACAGTGCTTGAAGGGGGAAAGTAGAGATAATAGAAGCGAGAGATCATTGCATAGTCATGAAGGTGTTGGAGAGGATAGTTTTTGGAATCATCTGGGTCCTTGGTGGCAAATGTTTTGAGAAAGTATGACTATATTGAGAATGGAGAAGTAATAAATGGAGCACATCTGAAGATGGAGCAGTGTACTCAATCATTTTTCCAGACAATTAGTTTTTTCCTTATTGGTAGTTAGCTGCAGTCTAAGAGGGAAATGCCATATTGAAAGTGAGTGTTCCAAGGGCACAGGCAACAGACATTTCAATGGTGTGAATTAGAGGATCCCAAGCAGATTGATGATTGAAAGTGACCTCTAAAAGCTTGATTGGATTACAAAGATGGAGAAGTGTATTTTCAAGTGAGTTAGGTAGAGGAAGGCTGCCATGGGAAAGTATGATTAGATTGGTTAGCTTTGGATTGAATGATACTTTATAATGAGGTTCATATTGGAATTCAGGTCCCTTTGAAGCCAGGTGACATCTGCTTCTTTGAGACATGGGAGGTGGTATCATCTGTTAGCAGGTGGAACTTGTTTTCCAGTGTGAAATTGATCACATTAATATATAATAGACAAAAATGAGGACTGCCTGCTGTTACTGAAACAACCAGAGTATTGTTGTGCTTGACTTAATGTACATGTGCGGCCTTCAACCTAGGTCGGGTGTCATTCCATGACTAAAACTGCCAGATCCCATCCAGCCCTCGTAGCTGACAGATATATGGTTAAAAAAAACTGAAGAGAGGAGCTGTTTGTGGCAGCATAAACTGGGTTTCCAGACAAAGTCACAAAATGGCACATCTAGTATCCTACACACAGTACTATTTTTCCATCTCTACACTAAGCAGATGAATAACCCATCAAGGACTCTAGGGTTTTCCAGAACAGAACTTGACATTGGCCTAAAATGTACAAATAACAGCATTTATTTATAGATATTTCAAGTTTTATGGCTATGATGTGGGGGAGGGAGGTGGCCAGTGGTATAGTGATCAATTGAATGGCTGATCTTTGTGTGGTACTATGGGTGTGTACTTGAGTCTTTTTTGGTTTGGTCACATCTCTTAGGACAACTAACATGAATTGCATTTGTTCAAACATTAATTTCTGCAATTAATTTCTTTGTTTTCAGTGCCTTGACATTGCGTGATCTTCCTAATGAGCGGTTTAGGCCAGTATCAGTGAAGGAGAGACATGAGATCCTCCTAGAACTTGTGAGAAGTGGCCAGTGTCCTGCATTGAAGGGTGTGGATGAGAATTCAACTATAGTAACTCGGTTCTGCTCTGCCACTGGGATGTATGTCCTTCAGGAGAAACGGCCTGGGATAATCTTTTCCAGCACCAGCTGGACTGCTGATGAGGATTTTTCCATCCTTCTCACTGCACTTGAAGGTTAGGCCTTTACCAGAACCCTGTATTTCCAGTAACTTTTTTTCAATTTCATTTCTCTTCTGGCTTCATGAGTCTTCTGCCTTCAATCTTGAATGTCTTTTAACACTTAAAACCCCAAGGATTTGCTCAGCAAGCCATACTGTCCACCCAGTGGTTTTTTGGAATAAAAAATTCCAATGAGTCATAAAATTCCCCCAAAAATCACAAAGTAGCTCATGTTCTTTCAATCTGTGTTTAGTTTTACGAAATTCCTTTTTCCGCTAAAAGAGCCTGCTGCACCTCAATCACCTTCCTGTTTAGTATCAAAAAGGTTTTATGAGAGGGTACAGGTTTTGACATATGACATGACAAATTTTAGTATTTATTGACCAGGAACATCATTATTACAGTCTTCAAAGCTGCAAAGACAAGCAGACACTGTGGATGCTTCCTTATGAAAAAATTGGTTGGTGTCTAGCCATGGTGGCAATGAAATAACAGCTGGTGTCTTGGCCACCAGTGACTCTAAATGCCTATGCCTCACAACCACACTTGTGCTCTGGTGGTCCCCAAATGGTGTACAGACCCTTAGTGATGGCACCTGGTATCCAAAGACATTATATATACTGACCCCCAATTTTCTGGGAATATTTGAAAAGCACAACATTAATGTACTGATATGGGCACATGGGAAAAGCTGAATTGATGTATAATTACTGACTTGGGCTTATAAATATTACTGTAGACAAGAAATCAATTTTGAGTTCTACATATGTATTCATTGAGAATTTCATATTTTATACATTTCCCCATCCTCATGATGTAGATGGATTCAGAGTTCTCAGGAGCTTCGCTATGCTCTTATATATCATATATCAATATCTTTTCAATATGCATATACTATGCTCAGTTTGAGGTATCAATTATGATACCTTGGGCCTCCATCATTGCAAAGCTGCTGGTATAAAAAGGACAAAAGTAAATCGCAATGGTTTCACATAAGAATCTGCATCTGAAGAAATTGACTTTGTTACAAGATGTATGTGCTAAATTTTCATTTAATGATCATGGTTTCAATGTGCCTGGAACATGGGTGGGAGAAGTGAAGTGATTGTTCTCTTACCCTCCACAATGCTGAGCCAAAGAGGAACATTTTTTTAAATAATTCTTTTACTTTGACATGACTTTCCTGAAAATGACTTCATAACTGAAAAGTCATTGCATATATGATTCCTAAGGTTTAAAGAAGTTAAGTTTAATGAGAAGTTGTAAAAAAAAAAAATAGAATCCAAAGATATCATATATGATACCAGGGGTACAAATAGGTTCAGCTAAAGAGCTCTTTTTTCTTTTTTTTTCTTACGGAAGGAGTCCATGGAATAATGAAGGACCATCAGCTAAAAAAAAGTGAGGTTTTAGCATTCAGGTCTAAAGTTTAAAAGTCTCCACCTCCCAGTCCAAAACACAGATACATTTGAATTTTTCAAACCATCACTTCATGCTTCTTTGGTTTAGTGGCATTTTTTTGTAAACTCTACAAAACTCTTTTATATTTAGGAAACCACAATTGTTTATGTTGGGTGATAGCTTATGAGTTGTGGAAATCAAACTTTAAAGAATGGTGTATGGATTATACAGAGTATGAAGATGCTAAATGCAGAGGGCTGGGAGAATATCCAGACTTGGTCTGCATTATCACTGGGAAGGGACCACTAAAACCTCACTATGAGAAGCTCATCAATTCTCGCATTTGGGCCCATGTTTCCATCTACACCCTCTGGGTGGAATCACTCATGTACCCCAAGATTGTTGGTGAGATTTCTCAAGTCTTTCCCTCCCCCCTATTCCTCCTTTTTTTATGTAATCTTTGAATTAAATTATGAAATTATATTTATACATGCCAATAGCGGCAGTAGATCTTGGGGTGAGTCTCCACACATCTACTAGTGGCCTGGACCTCCCAATGAAGGTGGTTGATATGTTTGCCTGTGGAGTTCCTGTCCTAGCTGCTAATTTCTTCTGGTTTGGCTCATTTTTTCTTTGCTTCATCTCTGAAATTGATTTCCCCTGCAATATGATCAATAATGATGTAGCATTGAAGAGCTGGTGAGACCAGGAGAGACAGGCTTTCTCTTCAATGATGCCAAGGAGCTGAGCAGTCTCCTTAAGAATTGGTTCCAAGAATATCCTACTCACCTGGAGACAATTCAGCTTAATCAGAGGATGAGTGAGCATCTCAGGCGCTGGAACAAGCTCAAGTGGCATGATGCATGGTGCAGGAGTGCTCGAGATGCTTTCTTCTTCTCTTCTTGAACTTCCTGCCACACATATTTCTTCCACCTCTGTTGGTCTCATCCGAATAAGAAATCTTACATGGCTGGTGGAAATGTTATGTACACTTTGCTGAGAGTATAATGAGAGTTACTGTGTTGTCACATTGAGTCTGCCTTCCCTGTTATTGCAAGTAGTAAAAAGAATAAAAGTGTTATTTTATCTTATCATTTGGCATTTCATTCTTTGCCCGCATCAGCTTGAATAAGAAATGAACGATGGTGATTTCAGAGGACATACAGGTTCTCATATCATCTTTTTCCTTTATTTGCATGACAAGCATTCACTTTAATCCACTTAATATGAACTTTTATAGGCATTTTTCAGGAAAGGCAGAAAGTTACTGTCAACTTACTGGAATTTCAAAATTGTCAAAACTTCAGCGCCCTCTACCTCAGGTCTGCAAGGAAGAAGATTAGAAACATTAGCTGTTTCTAGATTGGCTTATTTCTGAATGCTCATGCATAAAATTTATTGTCCTTCCAGAGTGCAGAAGACAACTGACAAATAGGTAATCGAAGTTCGGAATTTTCAGGAAAAAAGTGAGAATTCAGTTGCGAGGTACCTTAAAAATTATCCATAAACATGACATTCTGTGAAAAACATACGAATAGTCGTTTGCAGAACTGCATGAGAATAATATAACTTCTACGTTTTTGTTAGGTAGGCTAGTTGCTTCCGAATCTGCTTCCGAAGCGTCAACCACTCTGTCGTTGTACTTCGGGTATGGGGTTACCTTCATAAACAATATTTTTTTTACTGTTGAAAAGCATGCCTTTCACAATTAAAGAGCAAGGGGCTGTGATGAAGTTTCTCGCGGCGCGTGAGGAAAGAGAGTAGTAGACATTCATCGGCAACAACATGGTAAGAGAAATGTGTGGGGAATCCTGCCTTGCCGATGAAACCGTCTGCAAATGGGTTCTGGAGTTCGAAGTTTCATTTTCAGTTTATTTTCTCTCATTGGGGGACATGGTGCTCGTCGAGGGGCAACAATATACAACAGCTCTCGTACATGACTGCGCAGAAAAAGGTATTTAACAGTGACAAATACAAAAGAGATTGTATAGGGCTTCTATTTATTTATACACAGTGATTTGTGAACTCGCAGCAGGAAGAGCTTCCACCAAAGACAAGCCCCGTTACGAAAGGCCCAGAACTGCGAGTTCTGACCAAAATATCCAATATGTGGAAGATCTGGTGATGAGACCGACGCTTGTCCATCGATGATATCGCAGGAAGACCAGGTGTTTCCCTCGGAAGCGTAGCGAAGATTCTGACCGATGAGCCAAACATGAGGAAAGTGAATGCCCTGTATGCTTTCCGAGGGCCCAAAGCAAAGCCGTCTGGAAACTTCTATCATGGTTACACGACATGCGGCGTATTCAACGAATTTCATGAACCGTCTAATCTCTATGGATGAGACGTGAATCCCTCTTTTCGATTCCGAGACCAAGAGACGATCAAAACAATGGAAGCACACCGATTCCCCACCACCCAAGAAGTTTCGATAAGTTGCTTCAAATTAAAAGATTCTATTCGCCATTTTCTGGGACGAACAAGACTTGCTTTTGGCTCATGGTGTTCCCAAGGGACAAACCATCGATCGCTAGTGTGATCGACACCTACTAGAAACGGAGTTTTGGCCAGCAGCGGACTAGTTACGCCCGGAACCGGTCGATGGAAATTTAATATTGTTCCGGACAACTCATCACCGCACACTCCCCACGTTGTGACAGAATTCTTGGCTGAGATTGGAATTTAACTCTCACTAAATTCTCCTTATTCGCCAGATCTCGCTCCGAGTCTCTTCTGGCTATTTGTCAAACTCGAGGATTCGTTACGCGGAAAGAAATATCCTTTCGACGAACCCTGGGCTCTCGGGTCTACCAGTGGTTCAAACATACACCCAAATATGACTTTGCGAAGCGCTATAGAGACTGGTTAAAATAGTGGAAACTGTGTAAATAGAGGAGACTATGTCGAGAGGTGAGGAAAGTGACTTTGCGAAACTTGGCATACTTTAGGAGTTACGATATAACGACACGGACTTCCTGACTTCACTTCGTACTTGATCAGTTTCCACTTTTGAATATCGGTCTAATTAAGGTTGAAGGTTGAAGATAAGAGCGTCAGGAGGCGTACCCGCCATTAGGACGTCCCGTGTCGAGGTCAAGCGTTCTGATAAGCGTCCGATAAGTCTATCCCTCCTAAAGATCGATAATTTTTTTAGGCCTAGCTACCCACTGCCTAGTCGCTTAAACTACGATGGCCCTATTTTGTTTTGTCCATGAAGACATGAAGTCTCTTCTTGAAGCTAGTCACGGGGCGGGACAGCCACTACATCGTCACTTAACGCATCCCACGCGTTCACGACCCTAAAAGTAAAGTTGTCCTGTCGCAACCTGTGCCTCATCTGGGGCTCTAGTAACTTGAGTTGGTTCTCCCTCGTTGAATATATGAAAACGCCCGCTGAAAAAATGCCCACGGAAAAAAAAAACCAATACCTGCAAAGTACGAAAAAATGCCCATTTGAATATTTTTCTTGCTTTTATTTATTTTTTTACTCTGGGCATCTGTACCATTTTCATAGAATAGGAATGGTTGCGGATTTGAGCCACCCGTTGTTGTCCACACGCCTTCGATGCAAAGGTCCTTCAGAGATGTTGGTTCAGTCGGAAAGAAAGAGCTGCATTTATTTTGCAGAGTTTGCAGCGAGAGAGATGGATGCCTCTGATGGCAAAATCGCACGAGCATCGTCATCCAAATGCATCATGGCTGTAGACGGCTTGTGGCACGTCTTGGCCGCTCGCTGCTTCACGAAGACACATTTCGTCACCTCAGTTCAATAAGGTTCTACCTGACATTTTCATGAAAAATGAGATAATGACATACTAATAACCCGCATGGAGAGTAGATTCAGGAGATACAGGGTATATTAATTTTGTGTGAATTCCCTCAAGAAAGGCTAGAATTAACGATTCTTCAAGGTTCTATCTGCCCGGATCTCAAACATTCAGTTCAACAAGGTTCTATCTACAGTTCCCGGACAATAGGCTAAGACAACTCTGGAGACCTTTTGATTGTTTTTTTTTTTAAATCCAGGGTAGGCGGTCCCCTGTTGACATCGCCCAATCAGATCTCTTGTTACAGCTAGCACCATCCGATGAGATTTTGCCTAAGATCTATCTCATGTTCAAGGAAGTTGGTGGTACAGGTAGAGGCTGTATTTCAAGTGTGTGTTTCAATTGAAGAGTGAAAGGTAAAGTGGTTTTATCTGCAAAAAAAATTCCGAAAAAGTATAATTGGTTTAGTGCTCATAGAACCTCGTTCCATTCATAGAAAATGACATTTTCCCTGTAATTATGTAAAAGATGAACTTATCTAACAATACTTTCAATTTTCCTCACTTTAACATGACGTTCACACCACAGCAGAATCTTTGAGCTCTGTTCTTATATTTTCCCCATGTTCTTACTGTGAATAGGAAGAATTGCATAAGCATAATCAAGATGAGTCAAACGGACTCAAAAGACTAAAAGTCAGCTGCAAAAAATCTCAATTTTAAAGTTATTTCATTTTTTTATTTCTGTCAGTTACGATTCACTCGTTTTTCACTCCATTTGAAGTTATGTTTATATCTCATATTGATGATGTCTTTCGCAATGTCAGCATCTGCAGTATACCAAGGACGTGCAAGGCGCATGTCTCCCTGAACAACTGGTCAAAAGTTGATGTAGTTTTTTGTGGGGGGAGTCTCAGCATAGGGAAGAAACTAGATCTCAAAAGAATGCCTAGATGCCTAAAGTGAACAAGATGAAATATAATGACCATATAATGACTATGAATAGAGCGCAAACCTGGTAGTGTCAGATGATGTACTCTGACTAAGACCGAATTTTGAAATAAAACATTCATGTATTAATCATCTATATTTCTGTTAATTGAGCGCATGCTTGGAGGCTGAATTTCGAACTAATTTTTGTCGAAGAATTATTGGGAGATCTTGTTAGAGTCAAATAGAACCCTTTATCATAAGCCTTCCAAGAGGAAGTATCCATGAAGGAGGCTCCATGGTTCTATCTCACTTAGGACCTGATGGAATGTTCAGGAACTGAAATGTATTGTGGCATTTAAGTATTACATTGCAAGTCTTCACGAAGTACCATGTCTACTACAAACATTAACTTCATCAAATAATGTCACGTACAACCTGCAGAATCCCCTGAAGTTTGACCCTCTATTTCTCAAGTTATAAACATTGTCACATAGAACCTTGTTGAACTGAGGTGACGATTTGTTGATCTCGAAAGCTGTCACTTCCGGAGCATGGTTATATTGTGCTCCTGGACAGGGATCGGTGCAGTCGGCGTCCGTGAACAAAATTCCCCTACGCGAGAGGGACCGCAACGCACAGCGCCACCGGATTTTGTCATTCTTCTGGGAGTGCATCACAAACACGAAGCCTTCCAAGATAACTTTCCGTTCGCCTTTCTGGTTCATGATGAACGAACCATGGTTACTTGAAGTGAAATGAATAAGCTTAAGACACCGTATTTAGCCTACAAGGTTGTGCAAAAGTTCCCGTACACTTTGAAAATCTAATTTTTTTTATTAATCAACGGATTTTTGGCGATTCTGATGTGTTTTTTTAAATATTTATTTCGGACTTTTTTGATACGAAATGTTTTCATTATAACAAATTTCAGTCTTCATTTTAACTTTTTTTTTCTCTAGAGCTATGACGCCTAAAGAGAATCGAAGCGCAATCATCGCGCTGCACAAGTGTCACATATTGGATAGGAGAGGACCCCTAATCAATACACGACTGTGGGATTATTAGTTCTCGGGTTCGGTACAGCAAATTCAGGAAAGAAAATCCACCAATCGGAATTTCAAAATAATTACACATTTATATTAATATTCAACGGTTTAAAATAAAAAGGATGATGAAATAAAATATTGGAGGGACAAAAGACACAACACCAGAAACACCAGAAAAACGTCTCACAGGCAAATCTCTAGTAGATCCCCGCCCCACCCCACAAGCTGTTCCTCGCTCTTGCTCTCGCTATACCTCTCTCTCTCTCTCTAAGTCCTCTAGAATCCCCGCGACCTCCTTCGACTCCTCCTTTTTCCCCGGGTCTTCCCGGATGAAGCCGATAAGGTT